AAAAATATTTGGAATAAAACTAAAACATTTAGGTGGGGATACAGTGTACAAGTATGTCTACTTCTACAATGCGTGGTAATACTCACCTAGGTTTTCAAATCAGAACAAATCAAAATACGAAACACAAACAAATGCGAGGAATATCGACCTATCAACATGGTGCCAACATATGAGAAGCTTTTGGAAACAGTTGTAAATAAAAAAATGAGGAAGTATATTGAGGACAACAAATTGCTTACCGAATTTCAAGCTGGTTTCAGAAAAAAACATTCTTGTGAAAGTGCTCTACAGACTGTCATCTCCAGATGGAAGAACGCGCTGAGTGTGAAGAATGTGGTTGGGGTTGTCTTTTTAGATTTTCGAAGAGCGTTTGAGACCATAAATCGTAGTCTTCTTAAACAAAAGTTGGAAAAAAATGGTTTTCAAGGAACGGTCCTTAAGTGGTTCACAGAATATCTGGACTCTAGAACGCAGCAGACAAAATATCACAATGCCATTTCATCAGTGAAAGTAAACAGATATGGTGTACCACAGGGAACAGTTATGGGTCCGGACCTTTTTGTATTGTACCTACATAAACGATATTGTCAGAGTAGTTAAACATTGTGAATTGCAACTTTTCGCAGATGATACCGTCTTATTCTTCCAAAGTGACAATATGGACAACTTAATAAAATTAATTAATGAAGATTTAGGTAGGCTATATAAATGGCTGTGTGATAATAGTTTGAGTGTTAATATCAAAAAAACTAAGTTCATGTTATTAAAAAACAAGAATTATAGTACAGATATCAACTCTCATAGTAATGTATTTATAAATGGTGTAGAGGTAGACAAGGTTAAAGAATTCAAGTATTTAGGGGTAGTTATTGATGAGTTCCTAACATTCTCTAGTCATGCGAGGTATCTGATTGAGAAAGTATCAAAAAAAAAATATTTTCTGTGTAGAATAGGTCGAGACCTAAGTGGTTGGACTAAATTAATTATCTATAAAACAATAATACTACCACATTTTAACTACTGTGCTTCCATTACGTACATGTTTTCCAAATCTGACTTAGACATACTGCAGATAAAACAAAACATAGCTTTAAGATGTATTTTAGGATGTAATAGGTACACAAGAATAAAAGACATGCTGAAGTCGACAAATTTATTAAGTGTAAGACAGAATATTTATTTTTGTACCATGATAGTAGCTTATAAGATAAAATATGGTTTGTATCCAGAACATATATTACATAGGTTGCAATTTGTCTCTGATATTCATAATTATAATACTAGAAGTAAATTTGACTTTTATGTTCCGACTGTCCAGTCTTCCTTCGCACAGAATAGCTTGTTTCATAAAGGATTAGTAGAGTTTAACAATCTTCCTAGTGATATTAAGAATGAAAGATTCGCTACATTTAAGGTTAGGTTAAGAGAATTTATTGTTGAAAACTAAAATAGTGTTTAAATACTGAATATTTTGTTAATGTAATGATGTATTTTTGTTGTTGTTTGTTAGCTGATGCTATTAATAAATGCTATTATTATTATTATTAAATAAGCTTTATTGTCCAAAAAAATATCATTGTTTTTCATTGACAAAGCAAAATTCTTATTATTTACTAATTAATTCTTAAAGCTGGCTACACATGTTCCGGCAGGCCTGTCAGTTCGAACTGAACAGTCCAACTGAAGACCGGTCGCCTGAACGTGTATATATTCCGGTCGATCTGTTAGTTAAGACTCAGGCGACCGGAGAAAAATCAAAAATATGTTCGTCCATCCGGCCTGCCTGACACACTCAAAGGCAAGTCTCAACGTGTGTATGGCTCGGTCGACTGTCAGTTCAGATAGTTCAATAGTGAACGTGTTACGCCATGTCGCGTGAAATAGAAAAATGTGTTTGGAGGAATCTATCGCTAGAAAATTTCACGACCGTGGCAAGAAAGTATTTGAAGTAAGTAGAAAAATGGAAGAAAATCGATCCTTTTCGTACGGAGTCTACTGTTCTCAAAAAAAGTAATACTACGGTTTATTCTTCTTCCGATAAAGTTGCTGGTAGCTATTTGCAAGATAAATTCACCGTTCTACAGTTCTATTGGTCGGCGGATAACTAGCCAACCAATGAGATTACAATAGATTGCGTTTTTATCCGTCAGATTGTATACCTGACAGTATATCAGAAGGTGAATAAACCGGCCCTAAATCAAAAAGTGCTTATAACGGGTCGTTGTCAGTAGAGGCCGTGATGATCGAGACTGAAGAATAAATCAGATTTGCCTGAACATTTGGAGGGTCATCAGTCCATCCGGCAACCGGCCTTCAGTCGAACTGTTCAGTTCGAACTGACAGGCCTGCCGGACCGTGTGTAGCCGGCTTAAGTAAATTAAGTAAGTCAAAATTTTACCACCCACAAATATGAACCTTAAAAAACACACAAAAATCACAAATCAAATCACTAGTTCAAACTATAAACTTATGGTGCAAATTAGGTTAATAAAGAAAAATAAAAACTTTAAGAAAAAAAAAACAGAATAAATATAAATAAATAAAAAAAATTTAACTTTTTGGTCAACAGTATGAAAATAAAATAAAAAACAAATGACATAAAAAACAAACAACAAAGAGAAACACATCTATGTGATAAAAGTGAAAAACAAATTATGATCCAAAAACTTTTTAAAAATTCAAAAATTTTTGTGACAGTTTTGTGAAGGGAAGGCCAAGACGCACTCAGCACATTGTATTCTATAACTCAACACGTACCAAAACCATGAGATACAGCCCACAGTTTCCAGAAAAGCGATACAATGTTGTTGTTTTTCTTTCTTTATTGTTGTTTTTGGTAAATTTTCACAAATAGATTAAAAATTGTGTCAAAAATGAATATATTGGATTGGTGCATGTCCCAATAGGCTCGTTCAGCATATTTTTTTATTACATATTCTAAAAGAGCGTATTGAGTTTAGCAGTTGTGCAAAATTTCATAATTTTCTGAGCCCTTGTTCATATTTAAATAAATTATCAAAACGATACAAATTTGAAAGTTTTGAATCACGCGGTGACATCACTGCATCTCTCATGTTGGTCGTGTGACGGCCTTTAGCCCGTCTTGACTCGAGAGATGACGTCATACCATCTTTCAGCGATGAATGTCTGAGGCATAATGTTTTAATATTCTAAGCCGCATAACTTTTTAAATATTTATCCAATTGAGCTGAATTTTTTTTTGTGTGCTATATGTGAGTAATACTCCATAAAAATATCAAAAAACGTGGTTAATGAAACTTCACTGAACGAGCCTATTTAGTTAATTATTTCTAAAATTTGATGCCCCTAGAAAAGCTACGCCCCTGACCTGCTCCTCCGAAGTATTTTTTAGGGTACACAGGATGCCAAAAAATACCATAAGAAATTGTAATTTAACTAAAAAAGTCCCATTATATTCTAGAATTTTCCTAATACTAGCAAATTTAACAAAATTTTGCTTTAAAATCGAAATTTGGCAGCTATTTTGAAAATTTTAAAGTTATAAAAAAAAATATTATTTAAATTAACTTCAACGATATCAAATCAATATAAAATGACATATTACTTGCCCGCATTGATTGATATTTCATTTATTTGCAAATTCCATAGGGGTATTTTTTTGGTACTGCGGGCAAAATCTCTCCAATTTCAATTCAATTCAATTTATTCCAGGTGATTAATTTGACCTATTTAAGCTGCCTACCAAGCTTCATGCTTTTAACACAATTTGCAGGGTTTTTGCCAGAATTGTCATTAACCGCTAGGACTATTATGGATGTTTATGGAAATATGACATTTTTCCAGTTTGGTCCATTAAATTTTGAGAATTTATTGTGATCACCCTGTGCGTTTTAAACCATTCTAGACAAGAATCTGCTATCAGATTTTTTCTAAAAAAATCCCTAATAGTACTAATTGAACTTTGAGCCTATAAATGTGGACACCCTGTACACCAGTACAGCCGCAAAAATAAAATTATTAGGCAGCAGGACACACTGTATATTCCACAGGTGTGGAATGTGAGATTCATATTCCACAGGTGTGTAATATGAGTTACATTATGTGGTTACTATCACAAGCAAAATGCGTCTATTATTAAATAGTTGTAGATAAAACATTTTAATTTATCACCAAACAACTTAAAGGAATTATTAACGAATTTGAACATTGAGTTAAACATATTATAAATAAACTTCTAATAGATGAAAACATCACCAAACTATAAATTTTTCAAATTTTGTACCTCATAACTTTGCAGCTAATTTATGCCTTGGTTTATGCTATCTTTGGAACATGAAAATTTGTAAATAGTTTAAGTATCGTATCAAGTTAACTTTAGTTTTTAAGTACCCAGGCCAGCTCACAGTGGCATGTGCGCTGCGCTGTGACTCGAGCAGGAGAGGTATATATTTTTTTAAATTTCAATTGTAATTTTTTTTTAACCTATAAATTGAATTGTAATAATCGAGGAAATAATGTAGGTACCCAACATTTTATATCTGTTTAGTCTGCAAGTCCTTCATTGTGCAATCTCCAGACAAGAAGCAAGAAGACGAAAACGCGAGTCAATAAAAAAAAATATCAGATTTCATGGAGTGGTGAACCTGCCTGAGAACAGAACACACAAGAAGGTTGGATGTATCTGACTATCTGATTTATGAGGGTTTTTATTTTATTTTCACAATAAATATAAATGGAGGCGAAATCCTTGAAATTCTCGGAAAATCATGAAATAAATATGAAATTGGGCCAGATTGCGCGATATACAGTTGAGTTCAGAGGTAATTATTAAATAAACTTTCTAAAGTTTTCAATAACAAACCTTCTCAGCTGTTTCTTCACTGGTCTCTTTACATACATATGTTAAATGTCAAGATGGGGGTCATAAAATCCTTTGTTCTAAACAGCCCTAATATGCCCTTTTAACTAAGAAATAATCTTCGAAAAGTCTTGCAGGCCTATAAAATGACGGAACTTACCGTTATATTGGCGTGAATGGTGTATTTTTTTCCACATTTCCCAATGAACCTACAACACAATTCGTCCACACTGGCAGATATAATTTGGAATCGTTCATGGTGCTTTCCGAAAATTTGCTCTAAAGTCCGAATTTCGTGCTTCAGAGTATTTAAACAAGCCATAGATTTCACCTACGGATAATTTTGGGATCGTCAAAAAGGGCAGAAAGGCGATTCAACCAAGGAAAAAAAATTATCGGACAGCGACAGCCCCTACTGGTTTAGTTTTGCTGCACTCCCACACACACTGTTGCCAGGTTTCAGTTTCTATTTGACAAGCTATTTAAATATAAAATGCGACGTTGGCATTTATTTGTTTTATTTTTGGGGTACGTTCGATGGACAATTTGGCACGCGTTATAAAAGTCACAGAGTTCCGTTGCCAGCCAGAGGCGATTTCAAATCAGTTGTTGAATTGGATACCAAAATTCAAAATACGTCTTGAAGTTTTCTTCACCTTCACCCAGGTCAGATGGCTCACTCTAAAACTAGAAGAAAACGCTATCAGACTATCATGACGATTACCATTTGTCAATCAGTGCGCACTGAGTGTATCCGCATCTTTTTCTAAAAGCATGTAAAATCTGTTTTTTTTTTTAAAGATAAAAGTCAGAATGACATTATGTTGGCAATACAATGTAAAATTGTCAATGCTTTCAAATTTTTTATGTAGAAAAGGTTTGTGTTGCCAACATAGTTACTAAATTTTTGACTTGGGGAATTATCTTTAAAAAAAAAACAGACTTTAACATGTAAGGGTAAGGATTTTTTTTTTTGCACTGGTTCGACAAATGAAAACGCTATCAGACTGTCTTCAGGGCTGTCAATTGTTAATGACAAACTTTGTCACTTTCATTTTTGACAGTAACCGTAACCAATAAAAAATGTTCGGAAAGTAAATAAACAAAAAAAATTAATTTATGATTTAACAAAAACAAAACGTAAGATAGAATTTATTTTTTTCGTTTCTCTTAACATTGCAGTTGATTAAATAATTATTTTCTCTTATTTGATATTATCATTATCGCAGCTTTGCAGTAAATAGAAAAATGCATGACCAAAAGGAAAATAATCAAGATGTAGAAAATAATGGTAGTGTTTTAAAAGTACAAGTAAGTACCCACCTTATTTGCATCCTTTCCAGACAGGGCCGGTCGTCAATATTCAATAATTTTCCTGCCACATGAATAACTTTATCCGAGACTTTATCATTGGATTATTTTTATATTTTTAAGTTTTGTTACAAAAACATCACCTGGGAAGTATTGAAACCTTATCAAATCCAAAAATATTATAATATGAGTCATAACCCGTGAAAAGCCCGCCCCCTTATTTTTTCCATTAGCTCTTGACTTTTTGTAAAGAGTTTATAGTTCTGTGAGGAGTGCAGTAATATTTGGGATAGACATGTTAGCAACAGTTGAGTCGGTTGTGGTTGAGTCATTGCTAAGATATGGATTGCTTGTTTGGGGTGGCTTGTATGATAATTCACTAGACATTTGAACATTGTTCACAACTATAAATATCCTCGAAGTTATGAGATACAAATCTAAACTGTATTCCACATCACTTTTATACTCTGAAGAAATACCCAATGTCAGATCTCTTCATATACCTACTTGCGGTATGTCTGTTTTTCTATTAAAACTCTGACATTGTTTCCATTGTAAATCACCCACATAACATAAGAAACAGAAAAAATACACATCTTGTTATTCCTGGCTGCAATACCAGCTTTATAAAAAGCTCTGTGAGCTACTTGGCTCCTAAATTCTATAATGTAGTAATGTGTAATAAAATATATAGGTCAGAAATATGTAGAGCCAAAATTTTAGCCAATGATAATTTAATACCTAAAGTCCTCAAATAATCCAAGTAAGCAAATGTGGCGTATCATAAACAACAACAGAAATAATAAAAATAAGAGTAATGTTAATAGTGAAATTCTTAACTCAAATGATTTTAATAGTTACTTCTTAAGCATAGCTCAGAAACTTATAGCTGAAATACCAACTTCCAATTTAAATCCTGTAGATAATCTAGTCAACCTGAATGTGTCTGAACGGTTTGTATTTAAAGAGGTGAGCTTTATTCAGGTACGTGAAATTATTGATAACTTAAAAAATAAGAACAGCTGTGATACTTTTGGCATTAATGTAAAGCTAATCAAATGCATAATAGCTATTTATGTACCAAGGGGATTATGTAGATTATAATGCCCGAAGGCGAAACTAGCCCGAGGGCCTATGGCCCGAGGGATATATTTCGTCTGAAGGGCATTATAATCTTGAAATCCCCGTGGTGCATACAACGTAATAGCTACAGGTGCGTCGCGCGACCGACATCAGCGCTCCAATAATATATATAAATGTTAGTAGAATTGTTGGAAAAAATTGTGAAAAATTGTTGGAAAGTTTTTTTGAGGGTGGATCCTATCCACCAGTTACTTAAAAAATTAAAAAAAGCTAGTGGAAATGTGAAAATCAAGTGCAAAACTGTAAGTACTATAACCATAAAGACAAATTTTGCCTAACGTCTCGACCTCGTACTGTGAAATATTTATGGTGCCAATCATAAAAAATCTATGTTTATTTATTTATTTACTTCTGATAACGGTCCAGTATTGAAAGCAAATTATCGTGATTATTTGTTTATTTATGTTAAAATTGGATGTCATTAATTATTGAAAACACAGAGATTTAAGGCATCTTTTGGACTCCCAAAAATGTCTCAAAAAATTGCGGCTAGTGGAATATGCAACAAATGCTCACTGAATTGCACCTTCAAGGTTTCAACTGAGAAGAGAGATGGCAGTGAGGAGCTTTTTGGGTATCCTTGCGATGGTTGCAAGATGGTTTTGTGCAGAAGATGTGAAAAATGGAATACAACAGAAGTAAGATTTATACAGACAATATCCAGAAAAATACCATTTTTTTGCATTGACTGCCTAAAAGAAAAATCAGGGACACTAGTTAAGCAAGTACAAAAATTACACCTTGATAACAGCCATTTAAGAATTGAGATGGAAAAGATGGAAGAAGTTATAAATCAACAACGAGAAGAAATTAGTGAAATAATTGAGAAAAATGAACTTCTTATCCAGGAGAAAAGTGACATGGAGAAATATATGGAAAGGAGTAGAAGAACCACTATGGATTTTGAGGATGAATTCCTTGCAACAGAAGAGTGTCTCAAAAAAAAGATTGACAAGCAGAAAGTCGAATTGCATAATATAAATGAAGAAAACCTAAATTTGGGTAAAGAAATTGACGATCTACTAACCAGTAATCAAGAGATCAAGGAGAAAAACAGAAAGCTAGAGATGGACCTTGAAAACTTAGTGTCGCTTAAAGACGAAATGTTGACCTCAATCAGAACTTTAACTGAGGACAATGAAACTTGTATGAATGACTACAAAAAAGCGCAAAAAGAGATCTTCTTGATGAGGACTAGCAACTATCAAAGAAAGACTGTCAATAATGCTGAAACTGTTAGTAATGCCAGTACTCAGTATGATCCTACAATGATGGGAGTAGAAAAAATCTGTAAGCAAGTCAAATCCAAGTGTGTCGAATCTCTGCCTGTTATATTAGAGAATAATGAAGGTCATTGCTGTAAAAGAAGAGTTCTAGTGTTGGGAGACGAAAGTGGAAGGGGCTGTGCGTCGAAGTTACGCATTTTGCTTAATGACTCTGAAGAAGCGGTTTCGGGAATAATTAAATCGTACGCCCCTCTACATGAAGTTGCAAAAAATATTTTCAGCAGTACTCTTGACTATTCTAAGAATGACGTTGTTATTGTTTGCCTAAATGTAAAGAAATCTATGATAGATTATTCGGTCCTAAGGCAAATTTTTGGTATTGGTGAATATACAAATTTGATTGTCTGTTTTAAATATATTCATAACTTTTTGTTCAAAAATGTTAGTGACGTACTGTCAGAATTTATGCGTAGGAACTATAATGCTTCCATTAGGGTGATAGAGAATTTTAGAATGCGAAACAAATTCCGACATAATATTCCTAGTCTTAGTAAGCTTTTATCTTTGTACATAAAAACTAAACCTTTGCAATCTAATGCTATTGTGCCACTAGCTGACAAGAATGATGTAAGCGAAACATTAAATGTGGATTCTGGGTGTGAAAACATAAACATTATTAGTGACCTAAAAATTTCAGAGTCTAATATATCCACCCTAGCAGGAAACAGTGAGATTTCTTTTTTAGAAAATGTACCCACCACTCTGACTGTATCTCCATAGTGGCACTGAATATTCAATCTGTTAGAAATAAACTAAACGAACTTGATATATTTTTAGACAGTCTACAATACCCAAGCATAATATTGTTATGTGAACATTGGCTGAAGCCTCAAGAACCTTTTAATTTAACAAGGTATACTGTTTTAAGTAAATATTGCCGAATAACTTCGATACATGGAGGAACAGCTATTCTACTAAACAATGATTTTATGGAATCTTTTCGTTTTTCTGACATTAATAAATTTGACCATTTGCTTGAAGAAAGAGTCTTTGAGGTTTCAGTCGTATTTTGTAGGCAGGTTAATTTGTATGTTCTATGTTTGTATAGATCTCCCATAGGGAATGTAGAGGATTTTTTATTCAAGCTTGAGACCATTCTAAGCCAATTGAGCTGTAATTCATTAATAGTGCTGGGTGGTGATTTCAATATAAATTTCTTGGCTGCTGATAGGAACACCCAAAGGTTGGTTAATTTATTGGGTTCATTTAATTTGCATGTCATGGTGGATACTCCCACCAGAATAACCCCTAACTCTTCCACTACTATTGATAACATATGCACAAATTTTGAAAGAAATGATAGTAGTGTAAGTGTTGTAAATGCAGGTCTTTCAGATCATGAGGCCATTTTTTGTAGATTTAAGATCAGAACCAGAAGACGTAATGAATTGAAACGAAAGGGACGGATATTCAGTGCAAGAAATTATGATAAGCTCTCTGAATTGTGTGCCTGTGATAACTGGCAAGCAGTTCTTAGTTCCAATAAACCTCTGGAAACTTTTCATGAAAAGTTATCCTCTATATTCAATAAAGCATTTCCAATAAAAAACTTGAAAATAAATAAAAAAAAGCCATGGTTAACAGAGGGCATTAGGATTTCTTCAAAAAATATGCGGTCACTGCATTACATCCGTAAGTTTTATATCAGTAATATTTGTTTCATGACATATTATAAAAATTATAGGGCTATATATCGTAGGTTGGTGAACGCAGCTAAAGATAAGTACTATAGAAAACGAATAATAGAATCCAGTAACAGACAAAAAGAATCCTGGACAATTGTTAATGAGCTAATTGGCAAAAAAACGGGAAAATTCAGATGTTGATACCACACTTTCACCTCAGGATTTTAATAATTTTTACTGTTCTGTTGCTAAAAATCTCTCTAGCCAAATTGGCATTGCACACGATTTTAAACATTTTTTCAAATATTCATCAACAGGCGAATCATTTTTTTTTGTGCCTACGGATGTAAACGAAGTTAAGTTTGCATTTAATGAAATTAAAAATAAGAATGCTTCGGGGTGGGATGATATATCTGTCAAATTATTCAGGAAGTTACCTGACAATGTTTTAAACATATTAGTTTATGCTATCAATAATTCTTTCCAAAATGGGTTTTTTCCGAACTGTCTAAAAAGGGCCAATATAATCCCAATATTTAAAGCGGGCGATAAACAAAATCCCTCAAACTATAGACCTATAGCCCTGTTGCCGACTCTATCAAAAATTGTAGAGAAACTAGTAAAAAAAAGAATCGTTTCATTTTTGAATGAAAAAAAGATTCTTAGTCCCGAACAATATGGATTTCGAGCTTCCAGGGGGACTTCCGATGCAATATTTGCATTCCTCGAGGAACTTTTCTTGAGACTGAATGACAATGACGTTGCCGCAGCGGTGTTCTGTGATCTCACGAAAGCTTTTGATTGTGTCAGTCACAGAATATTGCTGTGGAAACTGCAGTCCTATGGATTTAGGGGATCCTCTTATAAATGGTTTGAGAGTTATTTGCAGGATAGGACTCAAAGTGTTCGCTTTGGAGGTGATGTTTCTTGACAGAGAACATTACAG